CAATGCTGCAAGAGTCTTCAAGAGTTTTCATAATTGCAGTTATAAGTTCTGAATGTCATGTGACTTTGCAGCTTTCCACAATGTTTCCAATCAAACGGAAACAAAAGACAATGAAAAGGACAAACATCATTATTTGCCTTCTCATTTTCTTCAATAGCCAGCAAAGCATGCATTCCCAGGCAGTGCAGCTTCAGTCTGGTTTAAGGTTGCGCTAACTGTCTTCCCCTTTACTCTTAAAAATGGCTTTTATCTGCAAATTATGGCCATGATTTTCCTGAGTTGTATTTCAGCAGAATCTTTTTACCAAGTCAGTTCAATTATTAATGGTAGTCAGTTCTTCTGTATTTCTCCTTCTCCTAATACATAATTCCCTCCTAATACATAATTCCATCAAAACTGACTGAAAAGTTCCCAACATTTTCTTAAGCATCATATTTTTCTTTAGCCGCTGTGATTACTCTCAGCTAAATCATTTTGTACATTTGCTCCATTTTCGTAGTCACAGAATCACATAATGGTTCAGGTTGGAAGGGACCACAGCAGGTCATCTGGTCCAACCTCCCTGCTCAAGCAGGGTCACCTTAGAGCATATGGCACAGGATTGTGTCCAGATGGTTGTTGAATACCTCCAGTGAGGGAGACTCCAAAACCTCTCTGGGCAAGCTGTTCTAGTGCATGGTCACCTGCACAATAAAGTTCTTCCTCATGTTCAGGTGGAACTACTTAGGCATCAGTTTCTGCCCATTGCCTCCTGCCATGCTGCTCGGCACCACAGAGAAGAGCCTGGCTCCATCCTCTTGGAACTCTGCCTTCAAATACTAATAGACATTGCTAAGGTTCCCTCTCAGTTTTCTCTTCTCAAGGCTAACCAGGCCCAAATCTCTCAGCCTTTCCTTCTAAGAGAGATGTACTAGTACTGTAATCATCTTTGTCTGTGTGATCTTCAATATCAACAAACTCTCTTGGACCCCTCTGAAAGTACAGGCACTTTATAGAAGTATTTGATTGGGTCAATATCTCAGCAGGTGTACAAAGGATGCCTCATAACCTTCTGGTTACATCTTTGACTGCTTGTGCTTGCTCGAGGCATTCTCTCTTAAGCCTCCTTTTGCTACTAGGGTGGTCATTATAGCTCTCCCTTTCCCACACCTCATGTCTGTTGAGCCTAGCCTTGTTCCCATCCTCCTTCAAGTCTAATTTAAACCTTTATATTACTGATCTCTTTGAGTTCTGTTTTGTTTCCAAAACTTTTACCAATCTCATTTTAGAAATGTCTTCATTCCTTACAATGTCATCATACTTTCAGCTTTCCCCAGAGCTATGATTTCTTTTGGTATCTCAATTTTTTTAAAACTTATCCAACTATTTCTGTCTTTATATCTTCCAATCATTTTCTTTCCTGAATTTAGTTTTTGTTTCCTGAATATTTCCTGTCCAGTCTGTAATGAGATTTCTTCATCAACATGAATTAATAGACTACAAAAACATCTAAATATTGCCTTGATCTTCCTCATAGAACTTTTCTTTTTTTAAAAAATTGAATTTGGTTTCAACTATAACTAATTTTGTAATCTCAGAGTTGTCTTTTTTTCACTTAACCTTCTTTCCCACAGGGCTTTCATGAACAGTGGCATTTTCTACTCTCCTACTTTTAACAGCCAATGCCTTTACTAATAATAAAGTGCTCTCTTTTCCTTTTAGTGTGGGTAAGTGGCAAATTCCATAAAAGCTCCTGATGTCTTTAGGAGAAATCCACCTGCAGCCTGTAATCAAACTGTGCATCTCAAGGCAACCCTGAACTTTGCCCTGACAATATGAGAGAAAGAAATTGCTGAGAGGGGATGTTACCAAGATTTAAACTGGGTTCAGTATTTTTGTTAAGAAACTGAATAATCTTTTTTTAAAAAAGTAACATCTCCTTTCAAGAATTATCAACTACCTGCACTGACATATCTTGTCCTAATAATCCAAAAGGGACAACTGAAATAATAAAAAGTTACCAATTTGTGAGAGTTGGTTTTGTAATATGATGATTTCACCTTTAAAATAATTAAGTTTTTAAATTATTAGCCCTCACAGTC